GACCAACTCCCAGAAACCCTCTATGGAAGTGATTGAAGTTAGAATGCTTCCTCCAGCTGCTTTGTCCACTACCAGCTCATCACAAAGAACCCTAGCCACCCAGGTCGCGGCCAACTCCCAGAAGCCCTCTGTGGAAGTGAATCGGGCTAGCATCCTTCCTGCAGCCACTGTGTCCACTGCCAACTCATTTCAACGAACCCTGGCCACCCCAGTCACGACCAATTCCCAGAAACCCTCTATGGAAGTGATTCGAGTTAGAAAGCTTCCTCCAGCCACTTTGTCCACTATCAGCTCATCACAAAGAGCCCTGGCCACCCCAGTCATGGCCAACTCCCAGAAATCCTCTGGGGAAGTGAATCAAATTAGCATGCTTCCTCTAGCCACCCTGTCCACTACCAGCTCATTACAAAGAACCCTGATCACCCCGGTCATGGCCAATACCCAAAAATCCTCTGCGGAAGTAATTCAAGTTAGCATGCTTCCTCCAGCCACCCTGTCAAATACCAGCTCATCACAAAGAACCCTGGCCACCCCAGTCATGGCCAGCTCCCAGAAATCCTCTGTAGAAGTGAAACGAGTTAACATTCTTCCTGCAGCCTCCCTGTCCACCGCCAGCTCATCACAGAGAAGCCTGGCCACCCCAGTGATGGCCAGCTCTGCGGGCCACAACATCATCAAAGTGGTGGGCCCTGGTTGTGGAGCCCAGGCTTTGGGGAGAGGTCCCAGTCCCAGGAAGGGCTCTACCTCTGGGACCACAGCTCCTGCGGGAATCAAGCCCAGCACCCTGCCCTCAGGAGCTCGGCCACCAAATGCAGTGCCTGATGCACCGCCGATTCCTTCTCAAGTAGGTGTTCAATTTATTTTAAAAAATGCCTCCAGTATCAGTCCAGTAACTCTACTGGAGCTTCCACAAGTTTCGCTCCCTTTGAACACCCCGCAGCAGCCTCAGCAGCAGTGGCTCTATCAGTTGATTCCACAAACACAACTGCAACAACCCACAACTACTAGTCAACAGCCCACAACTACTGGTTCTCAGGAGCCAGTGCCACAGGGTTCCAGTGCACGAGGTTCAGCCAGTCAGAGAACAGTGTCATCTGCTCAGCAAGCCATTGTCCTTAACCTCCCTGGAGCAGGAAGTTTTCTGCAGCCCCAGGCGGTGGTGTTGGCTGCGCCTGGCTCTGCGGAGAGCCAGAGAAGACCCCGGCAGATCAGCCCTCGCCCTGTGCACCCACTGCTGCCGGCCCCTGCCTCGCAGCCGTCGCTCCTGCAGCAGGCACAACCCTTGAGAATCTTGCAGGGCCCCGTGGCTGTCACGACAGTGGCCACGCAGACAGCTGGGCCGCCTCGGGGCCGGCAGGCCGCAAACCAGTCCAGAGGTAAAAGGAAGAAAGGTACATCAACTACTCCAAAATGCTAGGTCTTGCATTACTTCTCTCTCTTTTTTAAAAACAAAACAAAAAAACATTGAAGCAAAGAGTTTCTGAGTATTTACTTCATTTTTGTCTTTAATGTCTCAGTATTTTACATTGCTAGGTATACAAACCATATAGAAGCACAACCTAGTGTTTATATAAAAACAGGGAAATGTCTTAATGAAAAAAAAAAAGAATGGATTTTGATGTTAGCTACCATCAGGTCAATATCCTAGCTCTGCAATTTACTAACCTTAAGCCTATTTCCTAAATTCACCGAGTCTCCATTTCCTTACCTGTAAAATATTAATAGGAATATTCACTTCTTAAGTTTATTGTCAAGGTTAATGTAAGATACATTAAATATTGAAATTTAAATTTAGATTAATTTTAACTAATATAAATAATAAATATCTGAAAGAAATAAACCTAAATATTTAAGCTTAAAATAAACTATAGTAATAATATTAGTGCAAATAATAGTTTTGTTATATTTCGTAAAAGCCAACCTTGGCATATAAGCCACAGGAACTTAATTCTTCAAAAAAAAAAAAAAACCACTAGACTTTTCAGTGTGTGTGTACACACACACACACACACACATCTTTGAGGTTTTCAAAATCACAGAGATACAGGTACAGCCAGAGACCTACAGATGCAGATGTGGATATAGAGACTTGAATCCTCTATTAAATAAACAGTAGCCCTTCTACTCTGCCTACATGCCCCACATGGTGAAGTCTCTCTCTTTCTGATAAACCTGGATGCGTTAGGCACTTGTAATTCGTTCTTCACTAACTGGGGAATGATTTGGATATATGACTCGATATCATTTGCCAGACAATATTCTTCAAATGCATTATTCATGTGGTGCTTATTATTTTGCAAACATTTCATAAGATACAAATGCACCTGCTGTCTCCTCTTGCTCCTCTATTCTGTCTCAATTATTTTGTCCCCACCAGACAAGGTAATAATCACAAGAGAGAAAAGGTAAAAGTTTCTTGACTTACAATGGCCAAGTGAATGAAAAATGGTAGGTTTAGATGAACTGATGAAACAAATGACAACAGGGAATTATAGGGAAAAGAATAAATATTTGTGATATTTAAAGACAGCTGCTAATTAAAAATGATTTCTGCAGCTCCTAAATAATATATTTTACGATAGCATTTTACCTTTACGATAGCATTAAAACTTCCCCCTGTTTAAGTAAATTCATAAACGTGGGTAATACTTTTAAAATACTTATATGTAGGGGCGCCTGAGTGGCTCAGTCGGTTAAGCATCTGACTCTTGGTTTCAGCTCAGGTCCTGATCTCAGGGTCGTGAGACTGAGCCCCGCCTCGGGCTTCAGGCTCATCAGGGAGTCTGCTTCTCTCCCTCTGCCCCTCCCCCCTCAAATAAATAAATCTTTAAAAATAGATATAATAAAATACCTATATGTAACTGTAAAGATTTATATCACTCAAAAATGTCACCTTTCCGAGTTTTTGAAGTTTGCTTCAAAAGAATGAGCTACTGAAAACATCATAAAAATACATTTGTTAAATAGTTCTTTTTGTTAAAAGACTTTATTTTATTGTAATGTTTGCTATTTCAGACATCTACTTGGATGACTGGTAAGCATCATTTCACTTTACATGTCCAAGTGTGATGGCATTCATCATTTATTTCTCTGAGCCTGCCAGTGCCTTTACTGTTTGGTGTTAGAATAATTCACAAAGTACCTGAATTAATTACAAAGTAGTTTTAAATACTTTACAAAACAAAATCTAACTGCATACCCTTACCCCTAACGACTTCTACTCCAACTTGTGGGCTTTGAGGGATTCTTAGAGAAATTCTCAGACTTCTTTCTTTTTTTAAAATTTTATCTCAATTCAATTAATATATATTGTGTTACTAGTTTCAGAAGTAGAGTCACACTTCCTTCTTAACAGCTGAACAACCAACCACCCAATGTAAGGTAACAGTATGAAAAAGGGGGGGGCAGAATGAGTCCTGACACTAGCAAATAGATTTCTGATAAAACATTTTCATTCGTGACATTTCATCACGTGTCATAGTGCATTGCCAAATACCCTTCCCTGCATGTGCATACTCTGTGGAATCAAATTCAAACTATTTTGTTTGGCTATATGAGCCTGGGTTTGGCCTGTCTCTCCTCCCCATTTCCTACCATTTCCACATTCACAACTGTGACTTTGGCAGTACTTAAACAAGACTGTTGCTCCTGATGGGCTGGGTTGTTCCTCGCTTCCATGTTTTGGTCGAGACCCTAACCGGGAACTCCTTTCTATTCTGTGCTTGTAGTGCAATGCTTAGCCTAAGTACCATACCTCTGGAATCTGAGTCTATTTCTGCATCATCCCTTACTACCTTTAAACTATTTCACAAGCTTATTTGTGGATCAAATATAGTAGTAAACATAAAGAAAATAAGAATTGAAAATGTACATTGATATAAGTATCCTTTTCAGATTTTGGGTTTTTCTCTTTTTCAAACAGATTGTATTACTTTGCATTAATTTCATAACATTAGCATTTTTATTTAATTGGTTAAAAATTTGCTCTCTCTATAATCATTAATATATGTAATACATATTTATATTCTCTGTATTGAATGTCACAATATCTTTTTAAAACATCAAGAGTACTAAATTGGAACTATTACTGTAAAAAATCGGATATGTATAAAATAGTACTTTTATCAGTATTTAAATGTAATTTCTCTTTAAGCAGAGGTTAAAATCATACTTATATGTAAGAAACAAGAAAATTAAATGCAGCTTTTTTGTTTTCTTGGCTTTAAACCAAGAAAATATTCCTAAAGTTATGATCCAGTCATAAGTCATTCTGATGAATTATAACAAAAAAATTTTCTTTTACAAAATTTTAAGGCCAAACTGAGGAACAAGAAGAAGACAAATCAGTAAGACTCTCCCTTTTATTTCAACTTACCCCATTTCTTGTGCATTTGTATTTCTTAAAGGTTTTGAATTCTGGGCATACACTTAATCTATGCAAATAAAACAGTGTTTTCCTGTCTCTGTTTAGCTGTTATTGTAGCATGTGATAGTAGTCTGAGGGAGTTTTATCAGACTGGGGTGCTATGTTTGGGATGACAAACATGAAATAATTCTGGTAACAGGGACACTTGGAAGTGGTGCTCATTCTCTACTGCAAATAAATGAGTTATGCATTATCGTTGATTTATAAAATGATGTAAGATTAGTTTTCTGATGCTGTGGACACAGAAAACAAATGGTAGTTTCCAATCTAAGCCCAAATCAAACATCCCAACGTGAAACCCCCTGATTTACAAAAGATGTTGCCTTACACATGCCCCACTCCACACAGCCTACTTCACCATAGGTGGGTGAAGGACTTTACATGTTTTATGACTGATGATTCCCGGAGGCAAAGAGGGAGAAGACCAATCAAAACCAGCAGTGTCTAACCATTCACCTAAAATGCATTAACAGTGACTATGAAAGGGTCACCCTACGTTGCATTTATTCAGTCATTTATTCACACGCATTTATTGAGCACCTATTACAGGACAGACTATGTCAAAGCCCATAAGACACAAAAGTAAATGAGACATAATGTCTTTCAAAAGCTTACAGTCTAGTACATTAAGAACAAATAAGTATTAACAAAGTAGAGAAAACTAGTTTGGCTTTGAAATCAAATTGTATTTATGAAGCACAATTTATGCATTAACCTTTTAATTTTTTATGGAATTTTGAGACAGGCTTTCAATGATCATTTTAAGAAACATTGCAATTTAGGATTTAAAATGGAAACAGCAACAGATATCCAGACGTAGTGTTGATGTAATATCACTTTGTTTTTATCAGTTGCCCTCATTTCAGCTTAATAAGCTCTCTTGGCTCTCATCTTTCAATGTTTAATCAAAAGCAATTAAACTGATATACAAATGCCATCTCCCCTGCTTTAAGAATGACACTTAACACACAACTTCATTAACACGCAACTGGAATGTTTGTAGAATGATCAGCTCATTTTTATTTTTAAAATATGTGCTTTTCTTGCAATGTATGCTTGTAAATAAAATGTCCACACACACAAATTTTATTTGATAAATGCCATGTGGATATTTGTCTTGTATACTGAACACAAAGTTCATTCCATGTGGTATTTCTATTAAAAGCCTGCTATTCTTTTGCTAGTCTCTAGAGAAATAAATATTTTAGCTAACGAACTGCATTAGCAAAAAGTATAAGATAAGCAGAAAAAGAACAAAGTGTGTGTGTGTGTGTATGTATGCACATGTGCACATGTATGTGTGTTTAAGATAGACCCTTTTAAGATTCAGTTTCAAATAAGGGATCAGAAGGTTATAGTGGAAATGCCAGACATATTTTATGAGACCAGATTCAATTAGTTAGGTCTGTAGAGTAGGTTGGTTGTATTAATGGTCCCAGTTCTTCACTCCTGCCTATATCCATACCCTTTGCCATGTAACCTCCACTCTGAGTCTCAGTCTGCTGTGTGACCTGCATGGGCCAAGTCATGAAGCAAGAGCTTGAATCAGTACTTACACATCTCTTCTTCCTCTGTTACACCTCTGCTGTTGACATGAAAATGTGCCTGAGCTAGCTTCTGGAGGGTGGAAGTCTCATAGAGCTAGATTCTAGCATTCCCAGTTATTCCATCTTAAGATATCCAAAATCAGTCAACAAGTAGTTAACTTCTAAAGAGAAGGTCAGTTGTAGCTGGCTATGTTTAGGAGACCACATACTTTTTCATCCTGAGGGTAATTTTTTTATCATCATCAGTTAGGAAAACACAATATGTGGGATAGTACATATCAATGTCTTAAGATTTAATAGATTTTCCGTTAAGCATTAATGACATATATTCAATAACATCCTTAAACACTCAGAGGCTTTAGAAAGATACTCTATTAAAAAAAAGATGTATCAGGATTTGAGCATTTCTTCAAAAAGGAATTATTTTTCCTTGGTCTAGTAGCT